ATTCAGAACAATGCCATGGTTTCTATGCATGTTTTCTTCAAACCTCCGGAGAACTGGGCAAAATTAGTCCGTGTCGCATGGTTTTATTGCTAGTAGGAGGCAATAATAAAAAAAAAATTTGGTTTTGCTGTTTGTCCAAATGAGCTGAAGCTAGAAAAGCAAGTCCAACCAGTCATAAACTACCGCTCGTATCGCTTTCTTTTTGCTGAAAAACTTAACACCTATGTCGTTTTAGCCAATAAGTGAACTTCTTATACTCGCTCAAGTCTCCGTAAAGATCCTACCCGGATACTGAGGCGGGCGCACGCTTTCTCTGAGTCTCCTCAGAGTGGCTTCAGTCTGACAAAGAAAAGCTCAGATAATAAATCATGACCACTTCTAATTTTCAATGACAAGTTAGCAGGAGCAACGTTTAGAAGTACGTTGGCAAAAAAAAGAACGAAAGGCACTAAAGCCTTTTACATTAATTCAGCTACTCCATACCTCAAAGCAATGGCGAAAATCGAACAGACAACGAAGAATAGATCCGTTCTGTCTATCGGTCTTGATGTGAGGAAGACTTTTTAGAAGAGCAAAGGTCTCTAGAAACAACGAGAACTTCTCGAACGCTCGACAGCAGATAGCTGCCGGACATTTCCGCGCTCTGTCCTCCATTGTTTCTGCCGTTTGTAATCGACGATACCTACCAAGCCTCCCTCTAAGTAAACTCACCTGACATAGTAGCCCAATTCATCGTTCATAGAAGCTCATTCTCTGCGTTCGATCCAACAGACATACGCTAAACTCTCTGTTCATCCCGACCCAGAATTATAGGTACCATTGTGTAGTGATTTTTATTATTATATTATAATGAAATAATCAACCCAGTATTGCATTATTTCGGCTCAATATCCGCAAAGTGTGTTCCATCATCCTGCGAATTCGAGCCTCACTGCATAGCTAATGCGTTGTATTGTACGTCCTAAAGTTCCACACACAAATATAGCCAGTTGCCACAATCAATATTAGACAGACAGTGTATAGGCTAATACAAACAATGGTTTGTGAAAGCCAAGCAAGTTCGGGGACATCCAGAGCTACAAACAAAAACAAACACATATCGGCTTACTTTTTTCTCTTGGCTTTATCGAATAGTCCGGTTCACTAGCTTATTTCTTTTTATCGTTTCTTGCTCCGTGCGTGCTTTCGCTTGAGTAACCTGATGATGCCGGCAATCAGCTGCCGGAAGCCATACGCACCAGACATAAAACACAAGAGCATAGCCTGGTGGATTGAACAATTCATTCCCTTCAAAAACGAGACTTCGTCCTCTCACACCTAGTCCTATCAATGGAAGGACAGTCTTCTCTCAGTGTACGGTCAAAAGGCTTAAGCACCCTGTGTAATTGGCCCCTCAAAATTATGCTCCGGAACAATTGTGAAGACGCAACGGCGGCGGCAGCTTGACAACAATGATGACTGAGGATGACCGGAACGTGTAAATCAACTAAAACGAAGACCCTGCATCAGCTTATCTCTTCGTAGTCTCCTCGACTATACGACACTTTCTTTTTCTCATTGGCAGTGTTAAATAGAAACGAAATAAATGGACCAGTGTCAAATGCGACCGGAACTGCAGATGTTGCAAGACACTATACACGTCACATTGATAAAAAAAATCCATCTGCGATGGCGTAGCGAATCGAGCCGACCGCAATCAACGGCCAACAATATGTCCTAGATGCACATATACGCGAAGCTCTTTACCGATGGCCTGCGATCGTTACCCATGATCGAACGTTTTTAACCTATTTTTGGCCCATCGTCTTACAAAGCTCAGACCAACACATACAAGTTAACCGCCATGTTGAAATGATACTATGACATTTAGTGTTAATTGTATAGAATGAAGCGTCACAAGATCGATGTCACGAAACGGTTTGGGATTGTCTGTCCTGTACATGACAGCTGTGGCAACAGTCAGAAGAGTTTGCTATATATAAAATCTCCTAGCATCTGTCTTACATCATTACAGGAACGACGGCACCGAAGCGTTCGCATTGTTCAAGGCTTAAAGTTTTGTGGCAGTTCTTAGTAGTATCGATTATAACAAGTTCTCAAAACGTTCCCAAGCGCACTGTGAAATTGAAATACCCCGGGGTCTGGCTAAATACCGCGACAATATCTATGACCTCACAAATATCATACAGAAGAAATTGTTTCAAATATCCAAGTTCCATAGACAAGGAGCATACAACAGACGACATCTTGACCTGACCGAAAGGAAATGGCAGAGATTCGAAGTTAACCTAGATCTCAAGATACGGGACCCATATCACGTCTCAGGTCTTTTTCCAAGCCGACCAATGTCCGGAAATCCTCTTTCGTCTTACGAAAGCCAAGAGTACTATGTAAACCACATGCTAGCTGTCCAATAATCCGAAAACTCATTGTAAGCAAAAACCCTGTCATCATAGCTCGAATAAAAAAGTTTTTTTAGTAATGTCTGCGCTCACAGGACCAAAAGTTAGGCGTAACGAATGGATCTTCAACTTCGACCCAACAACCTGGAGAACGGCAATTCTAATCGAAATTATTATATATATATATGTATATAATATAAAATATATCTAATATAAGTAATATATTAGAAAATAACGTTCGTTGCAGTTATACAGTAAAAGTACTTAATCGTATAGAAGAGCTGTCGGGATAGAGGTAGGCTCAATTGGCCCTAATTTTGAATGGTAATGTAGTAAAGGGCAGCCTAATCGACTTCCGACCACATACGTTTACGGCTACAACCGTGCGAGCTTGAGCGTATCGCGGAGATTATTCATCCAGGAAAGAGAGATAGGTCCGACGCTATGGCTTGCTTCCCAAAAATTACATGCTTTAACAACGTGTTACAACAAACCAGGCATAGTGTTTAGCAGAAATCATTGTTATTGTTTAGCGTCCGACCTCATCCGAAATCGTTGGTCAGTTATGTGCGAGACTTCTACCCGACGCAGGACATTTTCACGAGTAAACAGAAAATTAGATATTGTCCGAAACGGGAACATCTTTCGCCGTTACTCTCTCTATACATCCATTTATTAACTATGATAGCGACAGTTATTTTGTGAACTGAATCCGATCGTATCAAGTTATTGTATTGGCCAAACGCCCCTGATCAATCAAGTTAAAATGCTCCCTTACAACTTCCGAAACATGGCAAATTACCGAATAGAGTAAAACATAACCGTCATCATACAGCTCATTTTTTTTCTGACCTTATAGTTCTTGTAGCTGCTAGATAGAACCGCATCAATCACTACATATTCATATCTAATCTAATCACTATTTCGTAAAGCTCCAAAGCGTGTTTCGATCTCTAAGAACGTGTACAGAAGCAGCGAAGTGGACTATACATTCGCCGTTGCGTTCAATCTATCTCCTTCTCCTTCTGCTGAGACCGATGCAATTGGTCAAAACACGTGTTGCCCCTCATTGCCCAATTTTGCTTTCGTTATTAGCCGTAGATAGACTGGTTTCCGTCCAGACGCCTTGATCGCGGATGACCGCTAATGGTCTTCACATAATTTTAGGGCGATGCCCTCCAAAGCCCAATGGATGACTACATATATGCCCGTGTCTGCTACGTAATCGAAATGCTCCTACTTCCGATGGTGAACTATGGCCCAATGTTACAGCTGCATCTATTACGGTAATCAGCAGTGGTAGATCGGGCGCAATATATTCCCTACGATGCGATTGTGCAATCTATTCGTGGAATGGAATAGGTGAACTCGTTCGGTACGAGACGCCCCCACAGGCGGGTATACGGCGTATACGTGTGCTGAACTAAATTTGTCCTTCATATCGTGGAGCCGGCTTTGCAGCGTCTGGCCATTGCACGCACTGCAAAGGCCATTGAATACGTGCAAATGGTCGTGGCACTTTATAATGTAGCGTTTACTCGCAATCATTATCGAACAGACTGTTCTTAACCGCTGTAACAGCCAGTGATTTTATACGTGCAGCGATAGGATATAGTATTAGTATAATGTAAACTCAGCAACAGAAGTCGCTTTAGCAGAGTTATTTTGTATTTTGCCATTGTAGCAGCACGATCACACGAATTATAATATATTCCGCAGTGAGACTATTTCGCTATCTAAAAGACACACTCCACAGGTTAGATAGGTAGTTATAGCTACGAAAAAATCTGGTTAATTAAAAACGGATCAAATTCTGAGGCGTCGATGTCATCGGCAAAAGCGGGAGTAATACGCTTCCCTACTAAGTGAGTCGTAACTTCCACAGAAGGGATGCCGTGTTAGGGGCGCAGTTCGTAACGTAAGTTAAGCAATTAAGTCATCGCTGGATCTTAGAAAACTTTAAAGAAGGTCGCTCATTCAACGCACTTCTGGACCACAAAGAATATCTTGTAACTGTTCACGACTTACGACCGGAGTGGCGAGCGAAACGTGCATAGAATTAATCGTACCCGGGAAGTAGGTGAACACCAAAAAGAATTTTATAAAAACATTCACACCTACTCTTTCAAACTTAGTACAACAATCTACTAACACATAAAAAATATATAGGCGCGACCTAGGACTGCTAGTTTTCTAAGTCGTTGATTGCGATCAAGCATAGCCGTCGAAACATGGGGCCTTCGAAAGGAGATCGTTTCACGAAACGTCTAATCTTCTTTACATCTATCTCTTTTGCTAAGTGTTACGAGCAAACAGCTTCTTCATGTATCGTAAAGAATATACAGCTTCAGTATCTTCATATGCCTTTGTAATCTATCTTCTCTGTTTCAAGGTGGAGTCATACACCTTATTATACGAAAACCGTGTACAAAATAACTTGTTTCGCGCAATGTATGTAATTTATAGCATATTATAGCAGAGATTTGTATTCTATATTTATTCTCAATACTTTTTACTACTACTAAATACTTTTAACAGCCACCTAGCTGCCCTAAGCTCTCGCGCAAGTATGCAAATTTTCGATACTGCCAAACTTACCATTGTCATGCCGCATAATATGATCGTACATATCTCCTCCATCACCGAATTCAAGAATAAGGTAGAGCTTCGTCTGTGTGTCGATTACCTCGTAAAGGCGGACAACGTGCGGGTGTTGAACTAACTTCATACATCTAACTTCCTGTAATCAACAAAGGTACTTAGGTGCTTAGTTAGTGCCCGGCAAAGTAGCTACCGATCGGAAATGGCTACATCATTCACTGCCGAGATATTCACCACTATCATTTTTTTTTCTCGACATGTTTAACAGATAAAAAAAAACTGCGATTGATAAGCCATCTCACACACATTAATCTAATAGAATACTTTTATTGTGCTTAATATCGCTGACAGATCGGGGCCTCCCGGGGCACTCGTGGGCAACGAAACTAGTCACGTTCGAAATAGCACAAATAGACGAGCTGGCGGCATTGAGCTTCAGGCCAGCAACACCAGTCGGCCGAGGCTACCCGACCGGAGAACGACAAATTCATGGCAGTCGCTTCCAGTGAGTCTGAAGCAAAAACAGGTAACAATTTGGCAATCATCCCTTCTTGTGCTGACCGGCGACCAAGGCAAACAACATGGCCACCCAAAACTAACCCTGCGCTTGCCAAAATAATATGTTTTTACCCGTCAGTCGTTATCATCTCGTGCTGTTCCGTCGGTCCGTTGGCAAAAAGGCACCGAGGGTTATTCCACACTTCTTTGCGTCACCGCGGCGTTATCTTTCAAAGTAGTTTTGCTCAGGAAAAGAAGCCGAAAGAAAGTCAAGCTAGTCGAGGTATGAGCGTATTTCGGCAGTCGCGTATTCGTAATTAACAAGTTATAATCGACCGTGCATCTAGCCGTGTTAACAACGGCGATCGAGGGGCTTGCTATCAGCGATTAGGGTGGAGGAAAGACCCACATCGCTCGTGCGCTAAATCGATACTTTAATGAATGTCAAAACGCCTCACAGCCTGGAAAAGAAGCGATGTATCGATACGTTTGTGCTTCGGAGATCCCGGATTCATCTTATTTTTAGTGTGTTCGTCGTTAGATATGCATATAGGCATCTGAAGACTTCCGCAATAGATCAATTAATACGTCTATAATTAGAGGTGTGTAAGCAGTTAGTTCCTCTTTATATATTTGGTCAATTGTGCACTAGAGTGCAATGAATTGTAGTCTATAAAATTAACAACGACAATTTGTTTTACTCATTAAGCATTCGCCCTATCTTCAATAACTGTTTGATCTATACGAATGACACACTATACTAATGCCTTTAAGTTAAGGCGTAAAAATATTTTTCTTCAGCTGATCGATCGCCATATCTATATATATATATATGCGTGTCACATAAAATTTATTTGTACCGTATGAAGATACATAGGGCCGGAGGTTGCGTGCCAACGCTTAGTCGGTAATGTAGCTCCTTGAGCATATTCTGGTCGGTGTCTACTCTTCCTCGGTTCGGTTGACTTATATCAAATCGACAATCAAAGCTGAGAATTCCTTGTCAAAATCCCTAGCTTGTTGAGATCCTTTCCCCGACAACAAAACGGACCCACGAAAGACATCAAATACGAATAGAAAGCTGTACTAGATGATTCGTCAGACGTAAAGGCAGCGTTGGCCACGGCGGCACTACTGGTAAAGGCGCACGAGCGCTTCCACAGTAGCAGCCACAAAATGTAGGGACTATTAGTGCCTGTACTGATTCACTTTCGCCATCTTCGGTCGTCGGAAGCGGATAGGCCAATGGCCGTAAAATATCAAACAACAAAAGTGACATTAGATTTATAACATTCATTCCGCTATAACTTACCGAATGCGAACGGACATTCAGCATTGAAGGGCATACAAAAATGTCTGCAGTTGCCGTTACAAACAAAATAGTATGTTATTCTAGAATTTTTTTTTTTTTAGACATGATATCGTTAGTAGGGAAAACAAAGCAAAAGCTATAAACTTTTTTCACAATGACGTGAATGATATACGGGGAAAAGTACGTCGGCGTGTTAAAACCTATGAACCTACATATCAACACTGTCAAAAAGCGATAAAAACCCTCAAAGAAACGCCCCATATTCCAAGTTGCTAATGATATTGTCTTCATGTTTGTTCCTATTAATGAGTGTGTCGTATTTTGAATACTTAATCGAGCAATTCAGCTTTTTTTTTTTAGCAATTTAGAGTGAAACACACAATGTGTTTGATGTTACTATTCTGTCGGGCGGTACTTCACTTTAACGACACAAACATTAACTAACAAAAGGCGAACGTCAAGTAGAAGGCCAGCCTTGTCCCCGGAGGTGTAGTCATATAGCTTCACTTGCCAATTTTCAAGCAGAAACTAGAAAATTTTTCCATCTTTTAAATATGTATATATATATATATATATATATGTATATATATATATATATATATATATATATATATATATAACAGTTTACCACTGCTACCTTAAATGTCACAGCGTTCGATTTCCCTTTAAATTAACAAATATAAATGAGTAGAAAAGATCATCCCGTGGCGCTTTGTCATGGCCGTCTCACAAGATTAACTTTTTCAAATGTTTATAGGATGGAAAATGGTCGTCCGGTTCAAGGGCAATTGCAAGGCCACACGCAGCGAGAATGGCTTGAGGAAGGCATCAGGGTGCAGCTATCCAGCATCCGCCAAACACACTCTCTCAAGCTCTCTCTCTCTAAAGCTTTTCCCTAACAGCAACACAAACCGCTTAGCGATAGCTAAATAGCAACGATGCAATTCTGTAAAAAATTCCCATGCAATTTGTCATTAAAACACCCCTGCGTACACTGGAACCGAAATGTTTTTTTTTTGTCAAGTTTTATCATCGTTATTCCCAGAGGAAGGCCATTACTAAAATTAACTCGGGTATCCTTTCCGAAGCAGTTCGACGGCATTCGATTCCAAGGATCATTATGCTTCCAATCGCAAGCAAACAGAGAAAGTCTTAGAAAATTAGAGTCTAGAAAAGTCAAAATAGTTACGAAAATAAATATATGTTCCATATTATTGGAGCTGAGAAAAAAGAAAGGAAATCAGAATTCGTAATTAACTCATATATTATAATCTTGTCCTTTCTGTATAGCATCTATAGTCTCGATTGTGAAACCTTTCCCTGCGCTTTCAAGCTTGGCTTGGGACTAGTTTACGGATTCGTTATTTAAGGCTATGAAGAAATTATACCTCAAGGCGTACCTCGTTGTTATAAACAGTTACATCATTACATAGGCCTTAACATATCCGGTTATTAGCCCTACAACTGATGATACTGTCACGCTTGCCTACACAGCATGGGTGACAGTGCTTGGAAAAGTGCTTATTTAAATCTCTTTCAGCCTCAAGCCGAATGTCTATTTCGTTGAATTGAAACAAAGTTTCTATTCAGCGTAACTTGCACGATATAGGCCAACTAAATGTTACCATATTTAGGTGTATCTTACGCGTTATCAGCATTACAAATCAAAGCAAATTGCTATTTGTAATGCTTCGATGGTGCCGCAGAACAAAAGAAGGATCAATTGGCAATGGAAGGACTATCGCGACAAGGCGCAGTCTACGAGGATATGCCAACAAACCTTGCCCGCTTTTTACGTAGACATTCAGACCTCTCATCTACATTCAGTGCCTTTGAGGAACACTTTCTGATGGTTTGTACCGACAGACACATTACTTGATCGAACAGTGGCTGCCGGTCAGCGAAGAAATCGTTGCCTCGATAGTCAGACAAGGACCCTACAGATATGTACCACTTAGGTTAACTTGCTCGTACCCTCGGGTCAGAAGGCGAGCACGTCCGCAACACGAATGGCCAATCTAAATAACAACCTTAGGCACATGTCTGTTTAGAAGACTAGCTTATAGAACGACCTGAAACGTTACCCAATAGAATAACACTGTATCTTACAAATGTCACGATGTACAAGATCCAGCACAGCTGTAAAGCGACCTGAAATGCCGAGAAATCTCGTCACCAAGATCAACTAACGTTTATTCGTAACGTGACGTGTTTGACAAACCACTAATAACCACCACGCTATGTGATGTAGATGATTCGCTAATATAAAATTTAAAATCCAACACTTTACACTGCTTTATGCAAAATTGATCTTATCATCCATAGCTGACATGTGATAGGACAATTACTTAATATGCCATAAGGAACGGGTAACTAGAAAGAGAAGTGAAAGCTTTTTTTACAAGTTCTGCCTGTGGACGATCGTGCTAGGTTTCATCAGTGAACAGCTTACATGACCTTATCAAGCATTGCCTTCCATAGCTCATATATCCAAACTAGGTAGCCATAGGTTAGGGATGTTTTTACAACAAGGATGACGCAAGCTAGCCTCTTTGTCAACGCTTAGGTAACGAGGTCTAGAACGCATAGACCCAAAAGCGCTGTTGTGCACCACACGTACATCGGCGAGAATCGGAAGTAGCAGTCTGCAGAAGCTATACATTATTCCTTGCACATTTTGTTATCCACCAAGGAATCGGATGTAGCAGAGAATCCATTGTATTCTCATACGCTTACCGTCCGGCGATTACATCTGCTATGGCAGTACATTTTAAAGTAAATAAAGTATGTCATCTCGTTGGCTATAGAAAGAGAAAAACAGAGATTTCGTCGCCCCGCCGCCACCAGACAGTAACTTACGGGATATTTACTGTACATGGAAAATATAACAAGTTAGAAATAAAGTGGGCATTTTATTTCTAACTCCCTTCAGTACTCGGAAAAAAATTCATCCGATGGCTCCCGTGACGAATGCTGAATAATATTCCTATATGTTATGCAATAGTAAATCAGTTTATTAAGCTATATATGTCAAGTGACTTTCCATATTTGTTTGCTACACTTATCTTGTCAGTGCAGCAAAATTGATAGTTCTAGCTGGTAAGATGTCGAGGTGAGTCAATTCTTTCTTGAGAGGAAGTTCTCTTCAGGGTCGGCGATTGGTCTTCAGATATCCCAGAATAACAATGGTCTACTTTTCTTTATACTGATAAAAGCCCACGCTGCTAGGTAGGTACAAGCAGTTAGGTCCTAAAACAAGTAATAAACTGATTTTTTAAGACTATGTTATAGTGCGTTTACCATGTTTTAACGGTAGTAAACCTAGACGA